TGATATTCACATTAAGGGTGTTGGAACATCGCTTCAGATATTTGCAACACATTGCCTTTGTTTCATCGACTTTGCGGCTGCTTTTGATTCAATTAATAGAAAGGCGCTTTGGAGAGTGATGGAATGCGACGGTGTTCCAGAGAAGATTATTCGACTCGTAAAGGCATTTTATGAGCATAGGTCGGCGCAGATCTGCGTATATGGGGAACTGACAGACTCCTTCGAAATGAACTGATATTCGTCAAGGCTGCGTCCTTTCCCTTACAATATTCAACTGTGCGATAGACTGTGCAATAGACATCGCTTGCCGGCACTCAAGGTGTCCAGAGCATCGTATCACAGATCTTGAATACGCTAATTATTTAGTCCTTTTGTTATAACGAAATGCAATTAATACTACATAATGTGTCAGAAACTGAACGCAAGAATCAGATTCAGAATCAATGTAAATAAAACGTAAATGTAAATAGAGTCTTTTCGTCTTATATTCATAAAATGTCTCTTTTTATAAATTCATTGCAGGTCGAGGAAGTGCCTGATTTTAAATACCTTCGGTCCACTCCAATATCAAATAGCCAGGCAAAAGACGATATTATAGCCCAGATCACAGCAGCTAGAAATGCGCCTCAGGTTGACGAAATCTTTATGAAGCCGTCATAAAATTACCATTAAAACAAAAGCCCGCATCTATATAACCGTGATTCGTTCGATCTTGCTTTATGGCCAATGAAAGTGGAGGATATTAAGAAGCTATCTACCTTTAACCGCTTTTGTCTAAGATATATTTTACGGGTCCGTCGAGCGGATAAAATATCACATGATCGCATCCATCTTCGTTCAAACACCAAATGTATTAATAATGTATTAATAATGTTATCACAGTGCGTCGCCTTCGGTGGTTAGGGCACGTTCCCCATCGTTCACCACAAGAGTTTGTCGCATATTTCATTACTTGCTAAGCCGTGTGATGGATGGCGTCAAAAGCGAGGTGGGCCAATCAAGACCTGGAATGATACATGGAAAAAGGAATGGCTTCTATTAATATCGACGATGACATCAGACCGCGCCGTTTGGAAGCGTCTTACTCTTGTAACCGTTGGAGCCAGCCTAATCAATAATGGTGAGAGTTGTTAGAAACACAAGAAGCGATGAGAGATAATTTTTCTAAAAAAAGGCGAAAGAAAAAGTGACCGATGTTGCCTTACGAACGAAAATCGAACCTTATTCCCTCCAACCATCGATTCCATGTCGTTATATGAAATTCAGGAATGATTTTTAAATCGCCATTTTTCACTGCTTCCATAGCTCTTCGAGCCATAACATCACATTTTACGTACCACTGTGCTTTCAAAATTGGTTCAATAATATCTTTTGAACGACTGAAAATATTAAATTTACAATATTAATATGAAATTTTTAAATTCTAAATATTTTATTTTATATTCTAAATATTTAACATAGTTCTAACTGATGTATTAGGAAAAAAATCCAGCATAAACAGAAATAGAAAATCCATTATCCGCACCTGCAAATAGGCACAATCATCGGATTATCTTTTATTTCTACATAAAGGCCTTTTTCTTTCAAAGCTTCCACTATACGATCTCTCGCATCAAAGCGTTTCAAACCCTAAAATAACGAATCTCCAAAATCGAATTTACAAATATTTCAGAAGAAAATGTAATAATTTCTACAGTCGACGATTTTATAAAAAATTTTTATATAACCTTAAAATCTCCGCATTCATCACTCATATTCCCATCATCTGTAATACATGTAACGAAAGTTAAATTATGCCGTTTACCCACTTCATAATCATTATAATCATGAGCTGGTGTAATTTTAACAGCACCTAAAAATAAAAAAACGACATAGGACTAAAAAAACTGCTTGCTGATATCAGTATAGTATAGAATGAAATAATTTCCACAATCAATGATGAATATGGGACGATGCAAATTATATGATGTTTACCTGTTCCAAATTCCATATCAACAAAATCATCACCAATAATCGGTAGCCGCCTGCTAACAAATGGATGTTTGCAGAACTAAAAGAATGAATAGATAAAAATATCTTTAAAAGATTATACACAGTATCTTTTATCAAGAAGAGTAAAAAAAAGAAGGGTAAAAACTTAAAAATTAATAGAATAGAAGGCAATTTCTTTAAATACAAACTTTTCCAATTAAATGTTTATAACGTTCATCTTGTGGATGTACAGCTACTGCAGTATCTCCAAGCATTGTTTCAATTCTTGTTGTTGCTACTATTATCCTCTCATCTTCAATTTTATGTTATATAATTTGTGTTAAATTTTAAACTGTAGATTTCAACTGTAGATAAATATTAATCCTAGATTCTAAAGAAAAGTGGGAAAAAATCTGACAAAAGGCATACTCGATTTTTCAATTGGATAGGCAAAAGAAATCAAGACACCGAATTCTATTTTCTTGGCATAACCGGGAACTGCTAGTAACGTTCGACCAGATAATTCAATTTTATCCACCTAAAAAAGTATGATAATTAAAAACTGACAAAAATTGCATAAAATCCGTTACCAATACTGTGTTTATCGTGACAACATTTACCGAAGGGATCATCGATTTCGATTTCAGTCCCATAGGTGGCCCACGATTTCGACAGCTTCGTTAAAAAGGCTACAGAAGCTGTCGTGCCGAATGTGAATTTTCCTCATTTAATGCAAATAAGTTTCCTCAATTAGTCAACTGAAAGTCGAGAAGATTCAGTGAAATTTCATAGACAGCCTACAAGATGGTTGTTTCTGTCTTGATTCAAAATTCCGAAATTCAAGTTTTGCCTGTTATCTGTTCGTCTTTTTCAGATTCAATGGATAATAAAATAATATTGAAAACATTAATACAGCAAAAAACGTAATGTAATCTCACTGATTCGACCTATTGAAAAGGCAACAAAAACTGTGGATTTTCTGATGAACTTGCCATATTCACGAATGAACCATTTATTAAACAAAAACTTAACTCATTAGTATGGTAAAATCAAATACAAGTTGATATCCAGTATTTACCGGGAAAAAGTGCTCAAAATAGTCGGCCATTTGAGCGACCATTTAGAAATGAATAAGATATTGCTCAAGTAATAAGATTTGTTTAATGTCCGAAAGTGCAAAAATATTAGATAATATTAGATAAAAATAGATATTAAAAAATATTTTTAATATTTATAAAAATAAAAATATTTTTGTAAAATCGAGTAAAAATTTATATACTTCGTTTCGACTTAATGCCGAATTAGCGATAAAATAATAAAATTTTTTATCAAGTTATTTTCTTTTGTAACCTTCGGTTCGCGCTTTTTCAATATTTTTATAAGCCTCGGCACAAGGGTAAAATTTGGCACTCTTATTGATACTACTGATACTAATATTCAGTATTGAAAAAAATTAGAATACCTCGATATCTGATATAGCAGATCTGAGAGTGCAAGACCAATTGACTAGACGATTACTGCGGTAAATAATTCCATTTTCATGCATTTTGATGAATGCACTAGTAACGGCACGCATAATTTTAGGATCCATCATAAAGCAAGCCCTATCCCAGTCTACTCCAGCGCCCATTTTGCGAATTTGATCGTAAATCACTGTACCTTTTCTAAAAAAGTTTTATCCACCAAATTAAATTAGAAACTGGCTAAAATCCCTCGAATTAACGAATCAAAAAAAGAAAAAGAAGTGAAGAGCCAAAAAAAGTGTTTTTAGGAAAATCGGGGTCATCATTTAAAAGCATATCTTAACCAACTGGAAAAAGAACAATTTCAGAAAAAATGTAAATAACTTCGTAATAATTCAGAAAATAACTGACTCGTTTTTCCAGTTCCATACTTCTTCAATAAATTTTTGTCGGCCTATATCATGCCTTGTTAAACCACGCTCACGTTTCAATGTTTTTTCAACAACAACTTGTGTTGCGATTCCAGCATGATCGCAGCCTGGATTGTATAAAACTTTCTCTCCTTTCATTCTGTGCCTGAAATTACGATTAAAAAGTTTTTTTTTTCAAGCCAAATTTTTCAGTAGCAAGGGATTCACTTAGATATTATAATAATAAATTCACGACAAAAACCACTGAAAAAAGAGTTAAGAAAAGTACCTACCATCTGCACAACACATCTTCAAGCGTTATAGCAAGTGCATGGCCTAAGTGCAACGTGCCAGTTACATTTGGTGGAGGAATAACGATTGTAAAAATACCATCGGAATTAATCTTTCTGAAATAGCAAGAAATATATTGCTTGTTGAGAAAATAAAATCTGTTGAAAATCTTTTGTAATTTAGATTGCTTTATATGATTCTTATGACTAAAATTTTGAAAAAAAGAAAATAATAGCTGACATTTATAATAATTATAGATAAATTTGATATAAAAAGAATTGAAAAAAACGAATCGATTCGTTCAAAAACGATCGATAGGTGACAGAAGAAAAAAAAATTGGGAAAATCCCAAAATGAATATTTTGATAGACGTACGCACCTGACGTGCGAGTTATATTCGGGCCTAAAAAATCCTTCTTTTTCCCACCAATCGTACCACGCTGCTTCAACGAATTTCGGGCTGTACGCCTTAGGTAATTCGACTGAAGTATCTTTCTTCTCGCCTCGCTTTCGTTTCGAAATGTATTCAATTACTTCCTTCGTTTTTTGAGCATCCTTGAAATAATGCAACAAAAAATAAACAATTATTCATGGATTCCAAAATTAGAGATTTCATAATGCAAAGCACAAAGCATTCTAATGAATGGAATTCAAACTCTTTATCCATTCTCCATTACAACAAACTCTCTTTCTTTATTCATTAGAGGCGAATAAAGAAGGACGGAATTCCTTGCAAAATTTGAAGGAATCCATACCGTCCGACTCTAAAAGGAATTGAAACGATCGCATCGCTTGAACGAGACTCGCGACGAAAATTGTCGGACCATTCGTGATCAGTGCACTTCCATTTGACGGAAAACAATAATAAAAGTTCTTCGAGAGAATTTAACCTCATTCTGCTTCGAAGCGGACGACGCCTTCAATTCAGCCAATTTCTGTTCCTTTTTACGGAATTTCGCCAACTTTTCCGCTTTCGCCGCTTCCTTCTTCAACTGCGATGGTGTTTTTGGTTTTTTATCGACTGCATTCGAAATATCTTCAGCAATCATTCTGAATTTTTCCCCTCTTTACCTAAATTTCACAACAGAAAATTCTTTTCGCAAATAAATTTCCATAAATAAACACATTTCTCTGAAACTGAAACAGAAAGAAGACAATACTGGAAATAACTAAACCGAACCACTAAACCACGCAAATCTTCCAAAAACTTCTTTTGAGGTCCAAACTTTACTTTCCGTTATGATCCATAAACCCATCACCACCACATCTACGACCAATTAAGCTGGAACTTTTAATTTTAACCGAAACCCTCAGAAAACACAATGCTCCCGGAAAATTTTTCCGAATACACGGCCGCAGCCCACGCACTACCCCTGCGATCCAATCCGTCCTTTCTGTGAATATTTTCTATGAATTCTCTATTTTGCGAAGATTACGAAAATCTTAAAAGTTATCAGACAGTACACAAAAAAATTCAATTTAATCAAATTAATTTCCTGACAAAAGAATTTAATAAAATTATCAAAAAAAAGCTGATAAAAACAATAATAATCGAGTAATTTGACTTAAAGCGAACTACTTCATATCAAATAATTTTTATCAATTTCATTTCCCTCAAATTAGTATTTTTGATAAAAATAAATAAAATTTTTACCTTTTCGAAAAATCTCTTTACTTATTCTCATTTAAGCATTCAATTTTTTTTTTCTTTTAATTGCACTACGAATTACGAATTCCTAATAATCCATTTTGCTTAATTATTGAAATGAAATTGTGGATGATTGGTAAAATTGGTAACATTTGCATTACATTATTACTTCTTCAACTTTCAATGTGAAAAAAAAAACAAAAACGGCTGTATTTCGAAGGAAAACCAGAAACGCACGAATTCATTTTTGAAGCATTTTATTCCAATATAATTAAAAATAGTATTATTTGGTGTGCTTCAGTTCGATTTTAGAACCATGCCTGTTTTTATTAATAAACGAATTATTACAAACATAGAAGAAATTTTAGTGAAACTGCACAGCCGCTTCGTAAAATTCTACCAAAACCTGAAATAAGATAAAAGCATCATCTATTCTCAAATTTATAATTCATAATTTATCTAAAATTTATCTAAATTATCTAAATTTATCTAAAATTTATTTTGAATTTAAATCGATTAAATATGAAAATGACAAAATATCAATATCAGCGATAATGATAACACTTCAAATTCAAAATCATTTAAAGCAATTTTCGGGAATGAAAACAATGGTTACCATGTTAACAATTAAATATAACAATTATCAAAATAACAATTATCAAAAATTTTAAAGCGCTAACCTTGGGACAAATTTCAATTAAACGCTTAGTAGGCTCAACTTTTTGCGTTCCATCTTCATAAACTACCAGTGCAAGCATTTCTTCATCCACTTTTCTTATACCAAGTATGCGTTCAATCTTACCACTGTTAGAGGAACTTCGTGCAGTTTCATATTCATCTAAAACCATTTTCAATCCTCATAGCAATTTCTTCCACGCTTTTGAATTTTCCTAAGGTTACTAATCTTAAAAGAATTCTTAACAGAATTAAATCGGTGCTACGTGAAGAAATAGAAAAATAAATAATGAAATTAATTTTTATAGGGTTACCGGTTAGAATCACACACAACAGCATAAATCGCAAATAAGAACCAATGAAATTTGAAAATTGCAAAAAATAAAATTTTATTTTATCTTTTATACTTTTTCTTTAATTGACGGTTGAAATACCATCAAGAAAAAAGACCTTACTTTGACTTTCATTTTTCTTTATTACTTCGTCTGTTGAAAATTTCTCACATTGACTGACATCTTCTTTTTGACTTGATTTTAAGGAATCCACCATCAATTTATTATTTTCTTCGTTTGAGGCTGCAGAGATTTCAGAAGATGTCTTCACTGTATGCCGTTTTTTTTCAGATAGATTCACCCTAATAAATCCATCCTTCTTTTCTATGCTGTTTTCCTTCAATCGTTTTCTGCCTGGACCTTCATCATCAACGCCTAACCGTTTCGATGATGATGTTGATGATGCCCTCGAAGACCTTGTTCCTCTTGTTCTCTGAATGGACAAAAATTTTAAGTTTAATAAGACTTTTAATAAGACTTTTAGTGAAAAATGATCATTAAAACAATAAGCCGTGCATTTCCCTCTAGAAAGATTTCGGAGACCTCAAAAGCCTCTCAAAATAAATGACCTCATTAGTCTCTTTTTTTTTGAAATGTGTTTCTCCTTCCTTAACATTCAATTATTCTCTTGTTTTCTTCGAAAAAAAGCCCACATTGTTACTTGGAAACCGCCTCACTTTTGGTTAAACTAAACAATAATGGCAAGCGATATTAGACGAAGATATTACTTACCATCTCTTCACACCCAATTATGCCCCTTTGTTATTCCTTAAAATCTCTTCACTTCAAGCGCGATTATAATCCCCCAACAATTCACTTTATCTCAGCCTTACTCTCGAAATACAACTAAATATATATTACTGCTTAAAATCTTTCAGATTCTGCCATATTCTTAAGTATTTCATTCCAGTTATTTTTCTTAGTGAACTAGCCAACTACTGGAATTAACCGTTTCTGGTTGAATTCATTTCACTGTTAAAATGATACAATCACTTGCGAATAGAAATAAAAGCCACAGCCATATGAATTTTGAAATGACAAGTCTATTCTAGCCAAAGGCAGGTAGAAAGATGAAGATTGAAATGATCTCTAAGCAATGAAGCACACTGCCTCAATCCATTTTGCTTATCTAGCTGTTAAATGAACTGAAAAATTGGAATTGGCCAAAAAATTGGCCAATCTCTCTACCGGCCCATTATAAAAATAAAATTTTTACTACAGATATAAAAAAATAATAGCAAAATAACAGATTTTCCAAAAGCCATAAATATAAAAACCTTGAATACTTTTTCCACATCCTTTTTTTCATATTTTTTTTTCAAAGCCATCTCGAATTCACGAATGAGATCTGGCGCAGAAGTCTAGAATCAAATAATATTAAGCGATCGATGGGAAAATAACAAAAAAAAAATTAGAAGTTGAAGGTTTGTGGCCAAAAAATTCCAAAGAAAAATTTAGATTTCCGACAAGCCATAAAAAATCAGTGACTAACGGAAATTATTTCTCAAGTTGATTAAGCAAACATGAAATAAACATGAAATAAACAGAATTGACATACGCAATTTTCCTCCGGTTCCCATGTATTATCACTTGGATTATTATAGCCTTTCCATTTAATCAGATATTCAGTCTTTTTTGTTTTCGAATTATATCTTTTGTCTAGAATTTTTTCAACGACATATTCGTCCTCGGAATATACTGAAGAATCATCACTTCCATTTTCCTCATGCTTAAGAGCAACAGAATTTTCCTGCAATAAGGAAATAGAAAAATAGAAAAAAATTTAAAACACACAAGTAAATAAATGCAAAATATGAAATGTAAATACCAAAAAATAAATAAATAAAATTCAAAAAAAAAAAACTGAAAGTGTAGTGATTTAGGCAAATACGAAACATGAGGAAAATTCTAATATTTTTAAAAAAATTGTCCAAATTTGAAACTATTCACCTCGCTTTTTTTGCTGTTTTCCGGCTCGACTTGCTCAACTTTCGACAAAGACTTGCAGTTTTCGAAATCATTTTCTTCAACAATGCTCTTGTCAACGATTTGATCAGTTGTTTGATTATTCAAAGGAGAAATGTCCTCCTTTTCAGCATTTTCATCCATTTTAATTGTTCTTCCTGGATAACTTCTTCCGAAGATTATTTATTCTGTTCGTCTGAGAAAATCCAATTCAAGCAAAAAAAATTTACTGGCAACCATCGAATAATTAATTTTGAAAAAGTACTCCATGTGACGACTATAAATTCTGCATTTCCACTGCAGAAAATATCAAATTTAACTTCAACATGGTTCAATAAAATTAAAAATAAAAATGGAAAAAGTGGAAAACCAAATAAATTAGGAGATTTTAGCAGAATGTGCAATGAATCGACAAGCACTTATAATAAAATTCACTGAGAGTTTAAAAAGCTGAATAATGGGCGACAGATGAGCGACAGAACGCGGTGCCACTCATCTCCTCCAAGCAGCTCTCGCCACTACTCGTGGGGCTGGCTCGCTGGCTGGGAGCTTGCGCCGCGGCACCACTCTTCTTCTTCTGACCGCGCTGGCGGCACGGCTGAGACGCGCTGGCATCAAAAACTAGCGCAATTGAAATGAATAAAGAAAGAAAGCTCGGAAAGCGATGAAAAAGAAGAATAATCCGATTTCGAAAGACTGAAGAAAACGCATTTTCGTCATTTAATCTTTCTTCGATTAATTCGTATTTGTTTTTTTCTTCTAAAATGCTAATTAAAATTAAAGGGAAAAACAAAATCCTCGAAAAACAAAACGAAATTGATAAAATGCGAACGAAAAACCGAAAAATCTGAGAAAAACCAAGAAAATAACAGAAAATAATTTGTGGGAAAAGCAAGCAGCAACGAGAATCCGAGAAAAAAGCCGATAAATTTCGCACTGAAGCCGAAATGATTTCGAAACTGAAACTATGTCTATTAAATTGACCTTTAATTTGCGGCGCAGCTTCGAGAAACTGCTAATAAGCAGTCGTTTATTTTCAAAAGTGTCGCATTTGTTGTCATAAAATTGTCGCAGACTTTTCTTGCAGTCAATGCAGAGGGGAAGTTTGAATTCGCTCAGGAACGTTCGTTTTATTTCGGCGTTGTATACGCATAAGGCAGTTTTGTCCAGCGCTTCGGGTAGGTTCATATTTTCTTTTTGCCTGTTTAATTTAACTTCGAACGTTGGCCTTATTTGCGTTTTGACAGGAAACTGCGACTTCCTTTCTTCTTTCGCTTATTCTCTTCAATGCTCGAATAGTCCTTAAAAGGAAGAAAGAGGCGGCATGTTAACTCTCTGCGCTTTATCTTTAAATGCTTCCTTGCGTCGTCTTTTTCGCTGTTTTCATTTCTTTGCCATTGATTTTACTATTTATTTATTTTATTGGTTTATGGTGCAATTTTTATTTTTATTACAGATTTTTTCATTTTTTCAGAAGTGATAAATTGATAATATTCTTGTTGATCGTTGAGAACTTTTATAGTTATTTTATCAAATTGGATTCGAATAATTTCCATTTAATTTTGTTAATTGGGTTTTATTACTTTATCAATTCAATAAAAATCTGAAAACAAATTTAAGTATTTTTTTTCAGCTATGCAAATGATCAAAGCGCAAAAAGTTGGGGTTAAGAAAAATGTTGGATTAATTGAATTTAATCGACCTAAGGCACTGAATGCGTTATGCGATCAACTTATGACAGAAGTAAATATGTATAAGTTTTAAGTTTTATATTAATTTTATACGCGATTTTTTTAATCTGATAATTTATAATTTGTCCAATATTTATTTGGGACAGTAAATGCATTTCTAAAATCTCTATGGTATAAATATCAATGACATTTCGGGAATATCAAATGAGTACTGGTTCACACTGGGATATGCTAGTAGGATATGCGCCAACTGGATATCGGAAGCAGCCGTCCAACTGTCTGGAGGCTGCAAAAATCTGAACGTCAAAAGGTCCTGACCATCGGGCGCTTCGAAGAAGCATAACAGCAGCACGGCGGGACAGAAATCGCTGTTGGAGCGACATGGCCTTGAGAATGGAGATGGCTACTCGGATAAGTCATAAGAAACTGTTTCGCCTTCTTCACAGAGCAACTATAATCGAGTGAAATAATAAGGGATATTAATGGGGCATCTGTTAAGGCTATTAAGGATTGCCTCATAAGATGGAAAGAATTTTTCGAGGCTAAATTTAACCACGATGCTCATCTGTTGTCCCGAATATAATTGATTCGCCCGTCAAGCCATATGTTTGCAACTGCGAAACTGCGAAACAAAGGAGGAAATATTCTTCTCTGTCATATAGAAACTTAAGGCCAATAAAACTCCTGGAGAAGATAATCTTCGGGCCGAATTCTTTAAATATTGTTCATTGATCGATTCGATTCACATTATACTTTCAACAAAGGTACTCTCTGGTAGAAGGGAATAATATCAGAAGACTGGAGCAGAGCAATTCTTTTTTCATTTCTTAAGAAAGGTAACAAGATGAAATGCGACAATTAGTGATGGACCTATTAGACATCGTCAGAAAAATATTCGTTTTCCTTCTGCTAAATGGACCCATGGCAGCACGAGATAGCAGAATGCGTTCTAATCAAGTTGGATTCAGATGGGGGTGCGGTTGTGCTGGCCTGGTGTTCGCACTAACAATGGTGCTGGAACATCGCTTCAAATATCAGCAACCTACCGTCACTTGATTTATCGCTTTTGTAGTTGCCTTCGATTGGATTGATAGAGCAGCGCTCTGAAAAATGATGGAATATAACGGTGTCCCAGAGAAGATCATTCGCTTTATAAAAGTGTTTCATCAGTGTACATCGGCACAGGTCTATATATATGGAGAATTGACCCTTTTGAAATAAGAACTGGTGTCCGTCAAGGCTGCCAACAATATTCAACTATGCGATAGACTGGATAATGGGCATCGCTTATCACCACTGAAGATGTCCAAATCCAGAGAATAGCAGACCTTGAATATGCTGATGATTTAATCCTTTTTGTTGAAGTTATGAGGAAATGCAAACAATATTAAGCAGTGATAACTCCAGCGAGAATCGGAATCACGATCAATATAAATAAAACGAAAGTTTTTTCGTCTTATTTATAAGTTGATAAAATACCTTTTTTTATCAATTCTTTGCCGGTTGAGAAAATGCCAGATTTCAGTTCTCGGATCCACTCTAATCACAAATGGCCAAGTGGAAGGCGAAATTATAACCCGTATAACGACAGCTAGAAATGTTTTTCCGGTTGATGAAACCTTTATGGACTCATCTCGAAATCACTTTAAAAACGATAGTCCGCTTCTCTGTGGTTACTTGGTCTTGGTCATTGGGGGTGGAGGATATCAAGAAGATGTCTTTAACCTAATTCATATCTAAGATATTTTTACGCCGAGCCGATAAAGTCGCATATAATTGCATCTACCTTCGCCCAAATACCAGTTGATAATATCCTCACAAAACTCGCTGGTCAGGGAACGTTCTTCGTCGCCCACAGGAGCTGACATTTCGTCCTTTGTAACCAGCGGAGCCAGATTAACCAGTAATGGTGAGAGCTGTTAGGAGAAGATATTTGTTTAATAGCGCAGTAATTTTCGTTGATCAGATGCAATATTATCGGCAAAGTGGATGTTTGCTTGGCCTTTTCTTCTATTCTTTCGTTTCTTTGATGTATATATTTACTCTGTTGCTTTCTTACCAGTAATTTAATCTTTCCACCTTGCATTTTATATCTTAATTAGAAAATTTGGGGTAGTAATGTTACCATGCGACTATGTTTGTGATTTATTTATTGTATAAGCGATGAATATGAAAATTTTGACAATTGTGATATAATTAATTTTTATTGTCAACAATTTTTGCAACAGATTTGTGGGATAATCTTAAAAATTGTAGCTTATTCAGTCACTTTCTGAATTTGACAAAGATGAATCAATTGGCGCAGTTGTAATCACTGGATCTGAACGTGCTTTTGCTGGTTTCTTTTTCATTCGTTATTTTCGTCTCCGTTATTTTTTTGATTTCATTTTTCATGAATTTTTTGTACTTCGACTTTTTCTCTTATTTTTGCCTATAGGCTGTGGAGGTTTATATAATGCTATTTATCAATGGTCGATAATAATAAATATAATCAATTTTATTCTAATATCTTTTGCCAGCTCATTCTTGGTTTCACTGGCTTGCTATTAATTATATAAAACATTTGAAAATTCCCGGATTTCTCTTTTACGACAGGTTGCTCGCATTATGGGATGTGATGGAACCTGTGATATCTTGGCCTAAATATTATATCACTTTATTTTAAACAATTATTATAAACAATATACCACTTGACCCTATAGTTTCTATTTAATACTTTTAATTAATACATTATAATAATGAGTAAAATAAAATTCAGAAATATATGTACTAATTATAATCAATTTGTAGATTTATTCATTTATTTATAGCAGGTGCAGATATAAAAGAAATGACGGAAAAAGATTTTGCGAAAGTTTATTATGATAGTTTTTTGGATCGCTGGTGTGAATTAACGAAAGTGAAAAAACCGGTTATCGCCGCTGTGAATGGGTTCGCATTAGGAGGGGGATGTGAATTGGCAATGATGTGCGACATTATTTATGCTGGAGATAAGGCACAATTTGGGCAACCTGAAGTGAATATTGGGACAATTCCAGGTCCATAATATGTTTTATTTTCATTGTATCTTTTTTAATGTCAATAGAATAGGCAAAGATTGAACTCTAATTCCTCAGTGAAGAATATTTGTCTAGGTGCTGGTGGTACTCAAAGATGGGCTCGCACTGCTGGCAAATCAATGACTATGGAACTTTGTTTAACTGGTAATCGCATATCGGCTAAAGAAGCGAAAGAATGTGGACTTGTCTCTAAAATATTTCCCGCCGAAAAGGTTTTCATTTATTTATTAATTTTTTGTGTAAGTTGTTGGTAGCATTGAGTTGAAGGCACCATTCTGTAAATCGCTATATAGTTGCTAAAATCGCTGAAATTATTCAAAAAGTGAATCCTTTATTCAATATTATGCTTTTCTTTTGTCTTTATCAATTTCAGTTAAATCTTAGCGAGTTGCCCAAAATTTTTTTTAATTTTAAAATTTTATAATTTTAAATTTTATAACTTATAAGATACCATGATTTTGCTAAGAAAATGGTTCCTTAAAAATCATTTATTTTTTCCTCCTAACTTTAGACATAACCTCGTGTTTTTAAAGTTAGTTGAGGAAGCAATCAAAACTGCTGAAAAAATATCGGAACATTCGCCACTTATTGTGGCAATGATCAAAGAAGCAGTAAATGTTGCTTATGAAACGACGCTTCAAGAAGGTTTACGCTTCGAACGAAGAATGTTCTACACCACATTTGCTACTGTAAATTTTACTATTTTTTTGGTTTCTTTATCTTTATTAAGTTTTAAATGCTATTTCTAATTTATATTTTCTATATTATTTTTCGTGATTTGAGATTTTTGCATAAAATCCAAAATACATCTTTTTAGAATGATCGTAAAGAAGGAATGGCAGCATTTGTCGAAAAACGTTCACCAAAGTGGACTTCATCTTGAATCGTTTTTTCTTATGTTTGCAATTTCGTTGTAATTCCTCAAATTTGTTTCTTACATGCATCAGTGCTTGAATTGGGTGCGTCAATTTTCTAGCGATTATCTGATTAGCTGACTTATATTGACTGGATGAACTTCAAACTTATCATTGATTCATACCTTTGGTTTAACAACCGTCATTATCATTAAGAAATTTCATAGTTTATTTGCTTTTACATTATTTGTTCAGTTTCACCACGATTCAACTAATTGAACAAAAAAAGGAGAAATGCTAGTGTTACCATTTTCAGCAAAATTTATTGCAAAAAAGGAAACAAAGGAAGGAAAAGGAAATATTAATTATTTTATTTCATATAAAAATTAAATATAGGAATATATTTCCGAAAAAAATTTAAATTTATTCTTTGACAACTGATTTTTTACACATCATAATTGGGTGAAATTGAGTGAAGAAAATAATTAATGAAAGGCACGAAATGGCATTGATCGAGAAATATATATCGAGCAGGAACCTTAATATTTAAATTTTCCATGTTAGATGCGTGCGAGCAGTTTGCAGTAATGAAGTCGCGGTCAGTTTCAACCGCTTTTGAATAACTGGCAATATTTATGTTTGTCGTGATGTTTCCCATACGACATATTTGGTTATGTAATTAGTTTATGCAATTATATAGATTATTAAATTGCATAATTGCAGAGCATTACAAAATTGGAAGCAAACTGCCGTTTTCCTTGCTATCTGCGGATTAGAAATGGCCTTTATTTAATGATCCTTATTTTGCACGGTTGCGAAAATTTATTCCTTTGCACACAAAGGAAATCCATGACCTCATCGATTAAAAAAATTTTTAATAATTATTAAAGTAATAAAACAAATGGTAGTTATAAATAATAATAAGCGATGCCAGTGCACCAACCACTTAGAAATTTACCGGTTGTTTTTGAAAAGATTTTTACAAAGAGGACGCATTTTTGGTTCCAAAAATTTTCATTTCGGAATTATTGGAGATCTAAATTGCTGTCACATTCCGGAAATATTCCGGTCAAAGAAGTATTAATGCAATCGCCAAAGATGACTTCTACAAATCAACAACAAATAATTTGGGAGCACTTTCGTCAAGGACGATGGAAAATTAATATGAAAAATTTTAAGAATCATTAAGGGGATATTTCTTGTTATTGTAATATTCAATCAGATTACAGTATTTACTAAATCATTCTTTGGTTCCGACCTGCTCATGCCTTTTGTTTGAGAAATTGTCTAAAATCACATTTTTCCCCATGTTTCTTAAAGACAAAGGTAATAATTCAGTTTTGTGGAAAGCAATTCTTATTTTCTTCTTGTTCAAAAAGCAAGTCATTGCAAATTTATAGTCACGTTAGTATGACTTTTCTTATTGGATATTTGAATGATTTCTGGAAATCTGAGCAACATGATAAGTGAAAATTAGTAGAATTTCGTCGTTGATGGTCGTCTACCGTCTTTAAACAAAAGGTGGAGGATGGTGGCTAATGATTTTACTCCACATTCATGAATATGCATAATATGAGCAAACTTGTTTTAGATAGATTTATCTCTGGTAGAAAAATTAATAATTTTGGGGGTGAAGTAGCGAAGTATTGAACTTCAGTTCTGGTACATACTATTTTGTTTTTAATGGAATAATAGCCGATGTTGAAACCTGCACACCTGCACCTGCACCTTATTCATTATTATCAATCCTTTATTATCCTCAATTAATATCAATCCTTTATTATCCTCATGACCGGAATAGTCTCTTAAGCCTGGTACAAGAGGATTTGGATTGCATCTTTAAGACGTGTCAAGTTTCTCCAGATAAATATTTTAATCTAGTTTAAATTTTCTTCATATTTTATCTTCGTGAGTGAGTGACTAAAAATATAGACAAATATCTCAGATTTAGAAATTCACATTGATAATAAACT